TTCATAATTCAACTCAGTTTTGAATTACACAAGTTACTCAAGTGTAAATTTTGGTTTGGAGTGGGCCTTTTGGAGATAGCGTCGCTCCATAGGACAAAAATACCATCATTCGAATAAGCTTACGAAATTGTATAACTTATATATGGATGCCAAATTCATTACTAAACTGCAGTATCCTAACGATTTATGGCCTTTGAAAATCAACCGAAATTGTATAGTTGACAAATCGCTCACAATTTTATTTAAAGTGTATATGCAAGGAAAAATGAAAAATTTAAAATTTCGAAATTTAGAAAGAAATGGCCTCCCTTTACTAGGTTAAAATATTTTTAGTTAGTAAAAGCGCTCTAAAAGTATTGAAAATGACCTAAAATCGCCCCCCTTTAGGAAATTCGCCCCCCTTTAGAAACTTCACCTTTTCTTTAGGATTTTTGTTCTCCGTTAAAAAGTTCGACCTTCCTAACAGTTGCATGGGATAATTATTACATGACTTTAGTCATTTGAAATCAGTATCAATTCAAAATTGTTAAGACAGAGCTTGAAATAACAACCGATCAATGATCGGCATGGAATTGATTATGATCCGCGGAAAAGCAGGGTTTCGGTTTCCAACCTGAAAAAATCAGGGAACGTCATGATCGAGAACTTTGGGAACGTTATTTCAAGCCCTGTAAGAATACAAACTTACAATTACATGTATCGAAAGGGCTTACACAGTTCACAGTTAATAGACTAAGACTTATGACGCTTCACAGCACACCATGCATATTTTGCATTTTCAGTGTTAATCGTTAAACTCATTGTTAAAAAGTAATCACCGTGGTGGTTATTGTCATTATTGGTATTGTTTTGCATCCACATTTTGTCGCTATCGGAAAATGTATGGCTTACAAGTTGTCACTATTTTTTACTTGCATTATTTCAATATAGTTTGTAAATTTCAGAAGGGAAGGTAGAACTTGCCAATAAGCAATTAATACTCCAATAATATACGTTTCAAAAAAGACAAAAAAGCTTTTAGTTTTGCAGAGTTACATTCTCGAATGTTTAAGGCACTGATAAAATCAAAGTATCATGAAACATGAAATTATTTGAATAAACCACACCACATATATATATAATGCAATTTTCTTTGCGGAAGTTAAAAATCAAGATTACATCACTGACACTAACATGGAAAGTTGACGATTCAATGGACAATAGTCAATACGCTTCCCAACAAATTCCATAGATTTTTATTAATCCTATAGTTTATTGTTAGCAAGTGATTAATGTGGCGGCTATTGTTAACATTGGTATTGATAAAATTTGCAAGCGATTGTTTTTATAATATGTTGTGTGAATGTAACTGCCAGAAGAATACGACAACATGATTTTATGAGATCTCTGTGGGCAATGGTTCCACTTTATATGTGTAGAATATGACACTAGTCTAAGTACCTCAAATGAGTGGTTATGCAGACTGTGCACACCACCAGCTGCTAAGAAGCCTAAAATGTGTATGTGATTTTGTCTCCTTGTAATAAATAAATAAATCACACAATAAATCTTTTCAACTTGCAATCGTTTTGTTTTTAGATCAAAAATTCAAAATTTATATGGGGGGCGAAATTCCTAAAGGGGGGCGATATTCCTAGGAGATTCGCCCCCTGGGGGGCGATATTCCTAGGAGATTCGCCCCGGGGGGGCGAATATCCTAGGAATATCGCCCCCCTTTTGAGAGGGGGGGCGAATCTCCTGGGGGGGCGAATCTCCTGTGACACCGGCCTTGTGACGTATGCAGTGTGACACATCGAAGTGGTTTACCTGAATGAAAACTACAAAATATCACTAATCGCAAGACAGTAGCTTGTATATTTCTCCTTAAAAACGCGAAAAATGTCCGATAGCGAAAGCTTTGAATCACAGAGAGATACAGAACAGTCAACAGATAACGAGGACGTTGTTGAGCCGCAATAGTCTGTTGTACAGGCCTATCAGTTCGAGCCAGTTGCTGATGGTGACTAATCACTATGAGCTATGCTATTAGGAAGACGAAACAGACGAAGACGGTCTTGAGGCGAGATTTACGAAAATCGTAGCTGTTATATTAGTTCATGATAAGTTTAACAAAGCAGTCTAATGTTATTATTATTATTATTAAATACATTTGTAAAGCGCAAATTAGCATTTAAAACGCAAATTAGTGTATGAATGTTCAGATGCGCTAAAGCATACAATTATTACTATTGTTAAATACATTTGTAAAGCGCAAATTAGCATATGAATGTTCATAATCATATGAATGTTCAGATGCGCTAAATGATCAAAGCGTTTCTCGAATTATTCATTAGCGTGTTTAATTCGTTTAACATGTGAATTGATTTTAGGTGCACATGTGGGCATTGTACTGATTGTAGTGATGCTTTGTTAGACGACGCGAGGGAGTACCGGTGTCCCAAGGAAATTCGCCCCCTTTAGAAACTTCACCTTTTCTTTAGGATTTTCGTCCTCCGTTCAAAATTTCGCCCTTCCTAACAGTTGCATGGGATAACTATTACATGACTTTAATCATTTGAAATCAGTATCAATTCAAAATTGTTAAGACAGAGCTTGAAATAATAACCGATCACCGATCGGCAAGGAATTGCATATTATCGACGGAAAAGCAGGGTTTCGGTTTCGAACCTGAAAAAAGCACGGAAAGTCAATGACTGCCGATCACCATGATCGGGAACTTTGGGAACGTTATTTCAAGCCCTGTAAGCAGGGCCGTCCCCAGGAATTTTTTTAGGGGGGTGTAAGGTCATTTTAACCGACTGACGAACGAGCTTGCACCGACCACCTGCTAACCATGGAAGCTTGTGGAATTTCCGATGGAGGTCAACTGCTGAGCCATTTTTGGTTTAAGGGGGCTATAGCAAACGTCGAGGGCGTGAGTTTGTTAGGGGGGTCCGGGGGATGCTCCCCCGGGAAATTTTGAAATCTGAGACCTCTCAGAGCTTCGGAAATGCAATCAAATTTACTAGTTGCTGTTAAAAAGTTTCTTAATAGACGACTCCTATAGGCCCAGTTACACGAGACCGGATTCGCATCGGAGCGACATCAAATTTTACTCGAGGTGAATTTGGCACTTAAAATTCTGATAATATAACATAATTAAACAAAAACTTCACATATGAAAAGTTGTAATAGCAGACAAGACTGGAAAACACCTTAAATTGATGTCGCTCCGATACGAATCCGGTATCGGTGTAACTGGGACCTTAATCTAACATTACCCGTCATTTGTTTAATCCAACCAGAAATAGATTGAATACTTATATTTATAAGTTATAAATATATTGTTAACCGATCTGAAAGATTTCAGTGTTCTTAGTTTATAAAAATTACATATATATGTATGGAAATTGTTGCCCCCCCCCCTGCTCCGCGGTCCCTGAAGTTACGCTCGTTGTGCTCTAAATAAAGCCTGTTCTAAATCGCCATATTTGATAATTGAGTTTTTGGCAGCAATATATTGTGTTCAGCGGTTCTACCTATCAAACATGCTACATTACTTTGTATCGCTATGTGGTTTGACTCCCAATCTGGACTTGTTTTACTAACCGATTATAATGATTAATGAGTAAATTTCGAGTAACCAAAATTTCCGTTTCTCATATAACAAGTGAAAACCATATCGGTATTAGTTTTATTTGTCAAAAATATTTTTGTCTGCCGACTGAAATAGCAGTCCTGCCGACTGAAGCTTGGAATAGAATTTCTGGCGGGGGGTGTCACCCCCCCCCCACACCCCCCGTAGCTCCGGCCCTGCCTGTAAGAATACAAATTTACAATTACATGTATCGAAAGGGCTTACACAATTACAGTAGATCAATAGGACTTATGACGCTTCACAGCACACCAAGTAATCACCGTGGTGGTTATTGTAATTATTGGTATTGTTTTGCATCCACGTTTTGTCGTTATCGGAAAATGTATGACTTATAAGTTGTCACTATTTTTTACTTGCATTATTTCAATATAGTTTGTAAATCTCAGAAGCGAAGGGTAGAACTTGCCAATAGGCAATACTCCAATAATATACGTTTCAAAAAAGACAAAAAAGCTTTTAATTTTGCAGTTACATTATTTAGAGTTACATTCTCAAATGTTTAAGGGCCTGTTTATATGGAAGCCAGGCTGGCCATATGGGCTGGCCCGCTTAGCGAGACAGCCCGGTAAGCGAGATCTCCTGTGTAGTTATTTTTATAGTAAAAATTATCGTGCGTTTATATGGACAAGCGGGCTCAGTGGCCCGGTTGCCGAGATCTCGCTTGAAAGAGGCGAGATCTCGCTTACCGGGATGGAAATTTCTCCATATAAACACTCACAAGCGGGCTAGCCCGGTTGCCGGGATGAAAGTTCAAAGTTACCGCCGCAAGCTATTTTTAACAACTGTCAAAACAATATCAATGTAACAAAATTGTCCCGGCAAGCGGGGTGAAATTTTCTCATATAAACACAAGAGAAATTCATCCCGCTTACCGGGCTGTCTCGCTAAGCGGGCCAGCCTTGGCTTCCATATAAACAGGCCCTAAGGCACTAATAAAATCAAAGTATCATGGAATTATTTGAATAAACCACACCATATATATATAATGCAATTTTCTTTGCGGAAGTCAAGAATCACGATTACATCACTGACACTGACATGGGAAGTTGACGATTCAATGGACAATACTGTCCCACCACCAGCTGCTAAGAAGCCTAAAATGTGTATGTCATTTTGTCTCCTTGTAATAAATAAGTAAATCACACAATAAATCTTTTCAACTTGCAATCGTTTTGTTTTTAGATCAAAAATTCAAAATTTATATGGGCGGGGGGCCAAATTCTTAAAGGGTGCGATATTCCTAGGAAATTCGCCCCCCTGGTTGCGATATTCTTAGGAGATTCGCCCCGGGGGGGGTATATCCTAGGAATATCGCCCCCCTTTTGAGAGGGGGCGAATCTCCGGGGGGTCGAATCTCCTGGGGGGCGAATCTCCTGTGACACCGGTGCTGTGAACAGATTCTGGAATGTATGGCAAAATTTACGTACGATAGAAAAGGCGCTGAATGTATTATACAGCACTGGCACTATCCTGTTATTACGCACCAAACACTCGAACAGTATTAGAGATACTGTTCGGGGAAAATATCGCAAATCAACAAGCAGAACTCAAGACGGGCAAAATTAGTAAGTCAGTTTTCATCAGTATTTTTTGTATATTCGCAATAATCGCAAATGGTTGTATTTTGTAAGATTTTGAAACATGTATTTTAATCTATGGCTTTGAATATTTTGAAATATATAAACAAAGTGTGCAACAGTACCGTCTTAGCTGTGCATTCATGAAGCTAATAACTCCGTGTTTGACTTGTTAATGTTTGGATATCTTCGTGCAGTGGCGTATCGGTGGATAGTGAAATGGATATTCGGCATGCTTGGATGGGAGAACTTTATAGACCGCTTCCAGCATGCCTGTATAATGAAATCAGGCAGAGGTATCCGTCTCAAAGCAACACTGGACATAAATAATCACAGCAGAGAACTGAGAACATGACAGAGGATGTATACTATGTTACGTAAACTGATATTGTAAATTATAAGTATAAATTGACCTGGTTCTAGTTAAATAAATTGTTCTTCACTCGGACTCTGTCGCGTGAGTATGATCGACTATAAGAAGTATAGTGCCCTCGGTGGTTACTGGTTACGCCTGATGTGAAAACATAATTTCTTGACTGATAAGTCCAGAAAGGAATTAAATTAATTACGGCCTAGGATAGTTTTCATTTGACGCAGCTATACAGTAGTATTAAACCACAACCAGTGACTAAGGAATACATTGCGCGCAAATAGTATATATAGATATACGGCATGTGTCATAGTACGGACTGTATAAATTCTAACTATATCCAACTATCTACAATGGACTATATACAACGAAAATATCTACAATATGTGAATATGCCACGACTAACGACATATATCTGAAATCTACACTGCTAGACTGCTACTACATGCAGCATTGATTTCGGCGGATTATAAGCGATAAATCGTCGTATGGTGATATAATTGTATTGATTTAACCAATGTATCGCATCTACATAACGCATGCAGATTTATTTGGATTTTGTTTAAATTATCATAAATCCCAATTCAACGCAGTTGAAGCTACATTGTTTCTAGTATTTACAGATAGAAAGAGCGCACTGTGTCACACTGTATACGTCATCATAACCTCTTGGCCGCGCGAGCTAAAATTTTCATAGCCCAACTTTAAACTAAAAATTCACAAACTTCTAGTTCGAAGTTTTCAACAAGGTTGATATTAAAATGATCAGAAAAGATGAAATTTTCAGATAATGTAAAAATCAGAAAATCGAAATTTTCATTGCATGCATATATATACACTTTAACTAATTGAATTTTAATGCAGTACGTTTGATATAAACTTTCGTATCGTTGGTTTTCTGTTTTCCGGCCGTATAGGCCTACCAATGGATTCGTTTCACTTTTCTCTTCATTTTGATAGTATTATGATCCGACAATACTTAATTGTCTTAAAGGTTTTTAAAAGCGAAGTTTGAACCATGCATGCAATCGCCGGAACAACTTGCCGGCCGACAGCAGGAATGTAGCGTACTATAAAATATAAGGGACCAGTCATAAAATATGCAGGGGGTGGAGAGATCAAATCTTCAACTGTATATTTTTCCTCGGCCCACCCCTGCAATAAGGCTTAAATATCAATGGCCCACCCTTAAAATTAATGTCCCACACTTTGCTAAAAGCCAACAACAGGCCGGAAACTCATGGATCACTTTCTATTGGTGTTATTTTTATACGTTACAAATTCAGTTTCATACATGACTTATTGCTTGGAAAACACCAAAACATTACATACGACTATTTTATAATAAAGTAAAATCAAATCCTGGAGGGTGTAATCGTTAATTGTTAACCCTATACGGATCACTTATTATTGCCAAACGTCCCTATCCTTGTCATTTAAGCTCCCTTCACACCATTCAGGATGCAATCACCTATAAAGTCACATAATCACACTACGATAGATAGATCCTACTTGGCTACTTCACCTTTACCATCACAATCATTCAAACTCACTGTAGTATTGAGTAAGCTAGCTCAAAAAGGACCTGTCATTTGCTCACTTCACAATTAACTGAAAAGATGAACAATAAAATACGTGGTGCTGGAATGTCCCACACTAACATGTAGTAGTTATATCATTTTTCACTATCTTTCCACCTTTCATTTTTGTTAATACAGTGTAATTGGTTATTTTCAATAACTTCGTAATAATTTTTTCTCTTGGTCTCACACTATTATCCGAAGTCCTTCCTTCTCCTCTGCACATTCTATACCTACAGGCTCCTTAAAGAGCGTGTGTCTCTAAAAACCGCCCATTGACTTGGGGCTCGAAAAATAATTTTCTTCGAAACTTTTACCGTGAACTACATTTACTTTAACAACAAGCAAATACTACGTGGAATTTTTAAAATATATTTAGTTTCAAAGTTTTAGCGATTTTTTGGTCTCGCACCGTCGCGGGAGTAATTCGCCGGCTAATTAAACGAAAAAATGGGCTGAATTTAAATAAACATAATTTCAAAAGTTTTTGTTCAAAATTTCTCATATTCACACCCAGCACCGGAAAACTATCGTAATTTCATCTAAACTAACTTAGGTTTTCAATTGCGGAGCATTTGTGACAATATTTAGCGACAAAGAACGCCATGTCAAAATACGGCTTTCAAATACTACTATTTTCTACGCTGAATTTCTTAAAAGTGGGACCTAATTACATACAGTGACTAGTATAATTGGAAAAAGGACACTTTGAAGTACTAAAAACCGTAATTAAACTCGTCTGCAAACGCGATTTGAACAATTGAGAGCGTTTGAAATTTGATACTCTTTATGGCCTTTTGTTTACATTAGAATATTGCTGAGGTCAGACGTCTGAGTTCGTGTCACTGCTAAAAATGCGCTGTAGTTCTGCCAAATAACCTTTCCCTCAAATAAGTTTATAGCAATATAGTACTAATCTATATTTCTTTGTTTATGTCCACCGTAAATGGTTCCAAGGGATTTAAAATAATAGGCATGTTAAAATAAACAACTTGACCAAATTAATACGCTACTCGGGGAAAAGCCCGCATGCAGCGCGAATTCTATATGTGGCACATGCTATATTTAGTGTGATTTAGAGTTTGCGTTGCAGCATACTAAACTATTGCTTAGTTTGAAAAGTCTATAAATGTGCGAAGTTTAGTTCTGGAACCTTTCTGCGAAGTTGATCTTTGAATTATATCGCTGTAAAATTTGAGAGTTAGTATGGATAATCTGTGTTGCGGAGGGTGTCGGGGTGAATCGAACATTCAAAACCTTCTTTCAAGTTGCCGTTTGTCGAAATCTGGTTTTAGCGAGCGCGAGCTGATTTTGAGAAGAGCGGAATTTTTATATGAAATATCCAGGGAAGAAATACGCTCTATGACACTATGCCCAAACCACCGGTACAACTTGGGCCGATACTGGAGACCTCGTCTAACATGCCAACATCCTTCTCACACTGCGCCTGCACGTCGCTGCAAAGGAAAAGATATCATTAACCTGGAAGTATCACGGGATGTATTCCAAATTTATGGAGTGCTTGTGCAAGTTGGTTCTCGTAAGTGATAAATATAGTCCAAATTAGAGATATATAATCGCATTGTTAATTTGTTATAGGCAATATAATTAGAGTTGCGGCGAATAGGCCAGTGCGGCATTCGCATGGTAACATTGGAAATTAGAGGTATACTGTAGTATCACAGCGACATGCTGATGATTAGCTTTACTAGCCCGAGTAAAAAGTTGTACCGGTGGTTTGGGCATACTGGTCATATAGCGTATTTCTTCGCTTGATATTTCATGTAAAAATTCCGCTCTTCTCAAAATCAGCTCGCGCTCGCTAAAACCAGATTTCGACAGACGGCAACTTGAAAGATGGTTTTGAATGTTCGATTCACCCCGACACCCTCCGCATACAGTAGAATCGATAGCATTAAAAGAACACAGATTATCCATACTAACTCTCAAATTTTACAGCAATATAATTCAAAGATCAACTTCGCAGAAAGGTTCCAGAACTAAACTTCGCACATATATAGACTTTTCAAACTAAGCAATAGTTTAGTATGCTGCAACGCAAACTCTAAATCACACTAAATATAGCATGTGCCACATATAGAATTCGCGCTGCATGCGGGCTTTTCCCCGAGTAGCATATTAATTGGTCAAGTTGTTTATTTTAACATGCCTATTATTTTAAATCCCTTGGAACCATTTACGGTAGACATAAACAAAGAAATATAGACTAGTACTATATTGCTATAAACTTATTTGAGGGAAAGGTTATTTGGCAGAACTACAGCGCATTTTTAGCAGTGACACGAACTCAGACGTCTGACCTCAGCAATATTCTAATGTAAACAAAAGGCCATAAAGAGTATCAAATTTCAAACGCTCTCAATTGTTCAAATCGCGTTTGCAGACGAGTTTTATTTCGGTTTTTAGTACTTCAAAGTGTCCTTTTTCCAATTATACTAGTCACTGTATGTAATTAGGTCCCACTTTTAAGAAATTCAGCGTAGAAAATAGTAGGATTTGAAAGTCGTATTTTGACATGGCGTTTTTGTCGCTAAATATTGTCACAAATGCTCCGCAATTGAAAACCTAAGTTAGTTTAGATGAAATTACGATAGTTTTCCGGTGCTGGGTGTGAATATCAGAAATTTTGAACAAAAACTTTTGAAATTATGTTTATTTAAATTCAGCCCATTTTTTTCGTTTAATTAGCCGGCGAATTTCTCCCGCGACGGTGCGAGACCAAAAAATCGCTAAAACTTTGAAACTAAATATATTTTCAAAATTCCACGTAGTATTTGCTTGTTGTTAAAGTAAATGTAGTTCACGGTAAAAGTTTCGAAGAAATTTATTTTTCGAGCCCCAAGTCAATGGGCGGTTTTTAGAGACACACGCTCTTAAAAGCCCTGCTGAAGAAAAAAAAGCATGAAAATGGTGGCCCACCACCCCCTTTTTCTCCAGCCCTCCCCCCCCCACCTCTATACTTTATAACTGGTCCCTAGACCCTACCTTTACTTGTAGCACAGCTTGTATAGGCTGATACGCCGGAAAGTTTTATTTGTAAAGTACTGCATTAA